GAGGGAGGGAGGGAGGGAGGGAGGGGGAGGGAGGGAGGGAGGGAGGGAGAGAGCGAGAAAGAGTGAGAGCGCAAGGGAAAGAGAGCGGGCGGCTCATGTGCATTTTGTGCCAAAAATACTATTTCTTCTATTTGAAGACCTGTTGGTGAGCACGTTTATCAACCTGTTATCTTGACGCCTTTCTTCTATTTGTCCCGGAACCCTGCCATGGGAGGAATATGCAGACTTCTATTTGAAAATATGTTTTAATATCTTCTATAATAAATTAGCGTACTATACATAAGCGCAACTGGATCTAGATTCGGTCGGCGCGCGGCGAGGTAGGTTATTCGGATAGTTTTGTAGTATTGTCATTTGATGTTACTCGTTGCTATGTCGGAAGCTTGAAGAGTAGCCATCAATGGATTCAAAAGTGGAGGTGATGCCAAGCTTTGACCCGCGTATCTCTACCACCAACGATGTGGTGCGACAGGCAATGTGTCAGTGTGGGTTAGGGAGATTTGCAACGGGGCGCCTTCATTTAATCAAGCGTCAAGCGGACGTGCTATGCAACGAAGGAATGGGAGTGAGACTTAGGCGATCATACCACTGACCCGCAACGCTGCTGGAGAAGGCGCCTTGACAGTCGTTACAGACAGACTGAGTGTAAAAGAAGCCATTCTCATGGTATGTTGCTGCGTGACGAAACCATTTCGGTGAGGTCAGGCTATGGCATCATTGTGGTCGTGTGGTCAGCCAGTATGCGCTGCCAGTGACGGGGCATGATTTTGGTGGTTGCTAGGTGACTATTGAATGTTGCCAAAACCATTCCATAGCAATCAGTGTGCAGCAGTATAACATCGTTAGCGTCATGGTGTAGTTGTCGCAGAGTTTTCACCCTGATACAGCCTCTTTGCGTATCAAGGAAAAGCGCAGCTGAGAAGGAGGTAACCCCTCTGGATCTCCGAGAATAAAAGCCCTCCCGGGCGCGATTTGGATTTGGGGCCATAGATTTGGGGCCTTTCGAACCCAAGCAGCTGAGCTGGTGAAGAATTGTTGCGAGCAACACTGTGTACCCAGCACATTGTGTCAGAGAGACATCAGTACAAGGAAAAGATTGATGAGATCAAGGAAATCCTTCAAACAATAGCGCAGAGTACGTTGGCAACAGCATCAGCAGCTGAGGCAGTGAGGAAAGCAGTTGAGGGCAAGAAGGCATCAACAGCAGCTTGGACAAAATTGATAGCAAAGCCCAACATTTTTGACTATACATTGAGCTCTATGGATAGCTGCGGAAGACTTTAATGGGTTTGATGCCTGGAGGAGTTTGAATAAAGCTTTGAAACCAACCTTGAAGGCAAGAGGCTTGGCACTCTTGGAGGCAGCCACTACTTGGCCAGCATTTTCAATGAACAGTGAACTCTTGAAGCTTGAAGAAGTATTTGATTCTTTTGAGATGTGTAGGTGGACAACTCAAAAAATCCTACTTGAACTTGGCAATTGGTGGCCATGTTCAATACCCAACTTTGAAGGAGCATGTGCTGCAGTGGGATAGACCCCAGCAGAAGTGGACTACTTCCATGGTGGCTAGTAGCAGTACAGACTATCAAGGACCCCTGCCAATAGATGTTGACCGAGTCCAAGACGCCCAAGGAAAAGGTATGAAGGGCAAGAATGACCACCAGAAAGGCAAAGGCAAAGATGCTAAGGGCAAAGGAAAGAAAGGAAAAGGAGATCATAAAGGAAAAGAAGGTGATTACAAGGGTAAAGGTAAAGGCAAAGACCAGGTCGGAAAAGGTGCAGCAACATGTTACACTTGCGGGAAGCCAGGACATCTTGCTAAGGACTGTTGGAGAAACAATATTCGACAGGTAGCAAGTGATCAGACCCATTCATCTTCAGGAGGAGCATCTGTTACAACTCATACAGTTGGCCAACAGCATGCCAATGTGAGCCAAAAAAGTACCTGACTTCAGCAGAAACCAAACCAGTGGCTAGGAGAATTGAGATTAGACATTTGAGAGAGAGAGAGAGATGATGAGCTAGAAGATCAGGGAATCAGAGTGATTCACTTCTACATTGGAGATGATGATGATGATGATGATGAGCCAGAATTCCAGGAAGTTGAAGAGATTGTGTTATCTCAGATGGTGAACCTATTGCGAGAAGACTTGGGGAAGAGAAGGAGGATGTGGCTATCATTATTGACAGTGGAGCTGATGTGGCATTATTCCCTTTTTGATTATTGCAGAGCATGGGGAAGGAGAACTACAATTCAGCACAAAAACCAAGCTACAAGATGCGCAAGGAAATCGTATCCCCACAGGAGGTGCGAAAAATGTTGAAATTAGTGAAACAGAATGTGATCTTCAGTGCGAACGTGAATCAGCATACTTTGCTATGGAAGGTTGATGGAACATGGTTGGGGAACCATCAGCAGAGAGCAAATATTGGAGAATGGTAACTTGAAGGTGCCACTCAACCTACAAAATCGCTCTTTGACTGTTCAAGGCTGCATTAGGGTCGGGGTGGAGATGAGAACTGCTTGGAAGTGCAAGTACCTGAAGCTTTGGAAAAAGGACCGGGTTGGAGACTCATTGAGCGTGGACTGCTAGTTGGGAGCCTATTGATTTCAAGGTTTGTGGATCCCACAGTCATCCCAGGCATGGAAGAACCACCAGAGCTAATGAGAACTACTTTGGTGAAAAAAGGAGGTAGATGGCTAACGCTTGAAAATTGTGAGAGTGTGATGAGAAAGTAGGAACTTGATAAGCAATTATTTGATGATGGTGCAGTCATTCCTTCAATAGCAATCTTCAGCTATTAGCCAGCGCCGCCAGAAGATACGGGATTCTTTGCGCCAGGATGCAAGAAGCTTGGGGACAAAGAGCAGAGAAAGAAAGAAGCGCAGAAGGCGCTAGAAGAGATTACCCCTACTCCCCAGGACAAAGGTAGAAGGTCAGAAAGAAGATGAAAAGAAAGAAGATGCCCTTGGCTGTGAACGACAATTGAGCCCAATGGATGTAGACAACGTCTTGGTGAATGGAGTAGAGTTCACTAAGGGTTCATCTTTGGCAACTCTGAGGGCAGCTTGTTCATTTCTCGGCGTTTCAGGCTTATACCAAGATCTTCATTTGCAACAAGAAGATGGAATTGTTGAACGCCAAAAGCTTGGTGAATGAAGCAAAAGCTCAGGAGACTAGCGAGGCATTGGGACAAGGTGTTGCAAAAATGCCAGATGAAGCAACCTCAAGCAAGGCGCAGGTTAACGCGCGTGCCATATGCCAATTGGTGCAAGGAGTGCGTTGCCCAGATCGCCGTGAGGGAACAGATGGAGTAAAGAGAGGAAGTGTTGCTGGGGTAAGCTTTGACGGTTGCTACACAAGGGCAAGGGGCTCAGAGACAAAGTCAGCAAGAGCAGTATGTTGGCTAGTTGCAGTTGACAGCCAGACTGGATTCATTCATGTTGTGCCATTAGGCCGCGAAGGCGAATTTCGTATCATTGTGCCGGAGTTGATGAATTTCAGTCAATTGTTGGGATACTCGGCTATCACCTACAAGAGTGACAATGAGCCCACAAGAAGGCAAATCTTCAACATGCTGATCAGTCAGCCTAGGACCCACTACCAGGTTAGTCAACTCAACATTCATTTCTGTCAGAGAATGCAGTTGACAGAGTGAGGAAGCTTGCAGGAACATTCATTGAAGGTGTGCGGTCAAGACGGGGTATCAAGATTGCAAGACACGCCAGCTGGGCGCTGAACAGATTTCGGCCGGAGCGCAGGCAGTGCTCAGTAAATGCATCAGAAAAACAGATCAAGATTGGTCCAAGTACTCACCCATCTACAAAAGCTTCAGAGCCTTTTCATGGGAGTATCAAACCAACTTTGGAGGCAAGATCATTGCCACCAAGGGGAGAGCAGGAGGGTTACCAGCAGCGCCGACAGTTAACAGAGAGCGTGTAACGCTGAAGTTTAGAGATGAAGATGCAGAAGCAGTAATTGCAAAAGCGCTGGAAGGAGGAAGTGATTCAGAAAAAGAAGAACCATTGATTCCAGAAGCAATGGAGATTCCAGCCCCGCTGGAAATCCCTGTTGAAACGAGATAGCGGTGAAACAAAGTCAAGTAGAGAAAAGACGCCAAATAAGAAGCGGGAAGTTCGTTTTACAGGTGAGAAGACACTTTTGAAGGTGAAAGCGCCCCCCTCTACATCATTGCCAGCAGGACAACCAAATCCAATTACTATCCAACTACTCCTATCCAATCTTCATTGACACCACCGTCAGCGCCATCAAGACCAAGAGAAGCATTTGAATTGCTTGAAGAGGAAGGCCCAATGAAGAAACTCAGGCCATCAGATGACTCAAGCAAGAAGGCCAAGATCAACGTGGTGAAAGTTAGAGGAGAAGATCTCTACCATGTAGGTGAAGAGTGGTCCGCAGTTGCAGAAGAAGTTGATGAAGAAGAGTGAGGTGATGAAGAAGATGAATCAGACTTGGAAGAAATCAACGGACCAGAATGTTTGTGGCGTGATGGAGAACATGAACCTGAAGGAGATCCAGAAGTGCGGAGTCACAGAGTAGCTGATGAAGTGGAAGAGAAAGAGCCCAGAAGGTGCAAGCCCTGGAGAAACCAGAAGGAAGCGCAACCGGAATCAGTTACCTTACGACGCGCAATGTGTATGACTGGAAGCAGAAACCATACCAACATGGAGATGGGATTTCAGTCAAGAGGTGGAAGAGAAGATCAAGACAAGTTGCAACAGGTTTTGCTTTCGACGAAGGAAAGAGAGATGACATTCTCTCACCAGCGACTTCAGGACATGTATTGAAGCTTCTGCCCGCAATATTCTTTCAAAGGATTAGTGAAGGAGAAGGAGCGTTCTCACAGACGCTAGGATGTCTTGATGTGAAAGACGCATTCCTACAAGTGCCACAAGAGAAGCCATTGAAAGTGATTTTGAGAGGAGCAGAATTCTTGGTGAAGAGGAATCAACCTGGACAAAGAGTGGGGCGAAAGCGTGGCTTGACTTTTCCACAGAGGACCTCACAGAGGAACTCAACTATAAATTCAGTGCTGAGTGTCCATGCCTAGGAGGGAATGAGAAGCGTATCGTTTTGATCCATGTGGATGACTTGGTTTTCACAGGAGACTCAAAGTACATCAATGAAAGCTTTCTTCCAAAGATTCAAGGCAAATTTGACACCAGTGTGGTTCAGTTTTCTGAGGAGAAAGTACAAACTAGAAGCTGTTGGGCTATGGATCCAACCAGGCAACTACATCCAGCAGATGTTCAGGGCCTATGAAGAGCAGATTGGATTGATCAAACTTCAACAACTAGCAGCAGGCAACTCAATCCAGGTGGAGGACAAATCAGAAGTCTTGCGAGAGCAAGAGAAGGTTAGCCTTGTCAGAAGCATTGTTGGATCAGGTATCTACCTATGTCAAGAGACGTATGATGTAACGTTTACAGTGAAAGAACTGGCTTAAAGAATGTCAAGCCCTACAGCTATGTCATTTCATCACTTGAAGAAAACTTTGGGGTACTTGAAGAAGACTATGGACTATTGTCTAGTGCTTGAATTTCCACAAGCGGGAGAAGGTCATGTCAAGAAAGGGAAGCTATTGGTGATTGGAGACATTCTCAGATTCAGACTGGAGTGGAAACAAAAGTCACAGAAAGTCAACATCAGGAGGATTCCATGGTTGGATAGTTGTCCATTGTTCAACAGCAGCAGAACACGGAAGGTCACTAGCTTATCTCCATGTGAAGCAGAACTACATGCAATAGTTTCGTCAGCGTCAGACGGAATCTGTATCAGGGCAGTTCTAGAATTTGCTCCTGGGACCAAGGTGGACAATTACATCTTCACAGATTCACCAAGCGCGCGCCAACTTGTGACAAAGAGAGGAGTTTGAAAAGTGAGACACTTAGATGGAAAATTGCGATGGATTCAGAATAGAGAAGACCAACAGGTAGCAACGTGGCAGACATCAACGCAGAGCCACTTGGAGGACAGAGAATCAGATACTTGATGAACCTCATTGGTTATTGGCACAGTGATGACCAAATCAGAGTAGGAGGGCGTGAGAGAAGGGTATTTGATGAGATGATGAATTTTGCAGGAATGGCCACTAAGATTGCCAAGATTACAAAATCGTTCCTGAAAGGAGACAACATCCAATGTGAGATGGACGCAGTGAAGAAATCCAATGAAAGATGGACAATTAGGATTGTCGCGATCATTGTGTTAAATATTGTTGGTTTCGCAGCAGTGATCTTTGTAATCTTCAGAATTTTCAAGCGCTTTGAGATCAGGTATGGCCAACAAGCTCATTCAAATCACTTCATGACAAACTACATGGAGACACTAGTCAAGGAAGTCGAAAAGGGAATTGAGATAAACGCAATACTCTACACAACTACACCAGGAGAATTCACGGTGGGTTGATTCTGAATGGAGGTTTGTGAAAATACCAACACCAGATATACAATTCATTGTCACTGAAGACACATTGGGAGAGATGAGCGCAGGACATTACTTAGCCAGAAGGAGCCTAGAAGACGTGCAGGCAACAGAAGGACTATATTATGGACACCAAGTAATGTTGCAAGCAGCTATGGATGGAGCAAACCCAACAGAAGGACCACTATACAAAAGATGCAAGTCAGGAAACAGGGAACTATCAATCAAACAAAGGTATGAAGTAGAACGAACAAACCAAATGTGTGGTCGACTTGAAACAAAATTACAGCAACTCGTGGAGAGGAACTCCAACTTGCTGGATAGAGGACAGCCAGAAATGGTGGACTTGGTTGAGAAAGAGATTGACAAATTTCGAGAATTGTTGGATTGTGCAGTCAGTATGAGAGAACGTCCAGATATACCACATGCTGCGCCAGCAATTTCTAAGAACCCAATTCCTGGAAGAAATGAATAAATCCAGCAAAAACAAAAAAACAAACATTGAATGCAAAAACTGGACTATGGTGGCAAAGTGACCTCAACAAAACACTTTAGCGTTTCACCTCGCCAAGAAGGAGTGCGAACCATGTTCCATAGGCACCAATGTGCAGAAGTATAACATCATTACCATCATCGTGTAGTTGATCAGATTGCATGTCACAGAGTTTTCACCCTGATGACAGCCCGTTTGCATATCAAGGAAAAATGCGTAAATGTTGTTATCCTTCTAGCAGCAAATGACTTGGCCATTTACAAGGCATGGTGACCCACAACTGGTCCAATTATTTCCACCACTTGATGGCAGCGATATTTGCTGATGCGCTTGAAGAAGAACACTATGCAGGTCTGGAACTGAGAACTGTCATAGATTCCCATGGTCACTGTTCCCCGACATTTGTTGCAGGAGTGGCCGAAATGTTACTTACTGCGGAGGGTTACCAAAGACTCGAGAATAAGATCCAGGTGAGTCGGCCAAAGTTCGAAACATCGTGCGCATCTATGACTTGTATCAATGCCTTGATTTGATGAATGCCAGGAGAAAGGCTGCGGAAACAAAAGCTATTGGGCCCGGCTGCCTGGTGTTAGGGTTCAGTCCGATATTTGCAGTACTGATAGGTCTTGATATGTATTCCAACAGTTATTTTGTTTGGCAACTTGGAATGCAGGTCTGTGCATTCTCCGTCAACCAGCACGCCTGTATTTGTGATAACTTTGGCCGAGCTCCGCCTGAGGGGACTCCCGAGTTTGAGGCGGGAGTTGAATCAGTTGCTATGAACATTTTCTTAAATAAAGGACTTGTGGCACTGTAGCACCATGTCGTGACACGTCCTGACACACCCGTGGTTTGGTAAGGCTTTTCATTACACTCCAGCATGCTTTGTGGCAAGGTCTTCTTTTTGGCAAACAAAATACCGAAAGACAACAGATGAACACATGCATTAGTTTGATGATGCATGTGTACAATGATGAGAGTGTCAGCGTGTCGGAGGAATGGGACTTGAAGCGGAGAGATAGCGTTACTGGCTTGGTTTTCAACGTGTGCCCATGCAAGCAGCGCAAGATATGGAACAATGAGCCGGCGCTTTGTGAGATGAACAAATTTGTGACTTTCTTGCAGCATAAACTTTTCTTGATTGCTCTTTCATGTCAACGTTCGAACAGCGTTTCAAGTATCGTCAAGTCTGGACTGAGGATTCCATGATGCGACATTTAAATCGGCAGCAAAGGGACTTCTCACACCTTGTGGTTGTAGATGTTGCTTTCGACGTGTTCACCAGAGCGCCCCTATGCAGAATTCCGTCCACTCCGGTAGGTGTTCGCAGAAAGCCAGTTCTGGGTATTTGAAAAGGAACTAAAGAAGGAACTGCTATGGTGTGCAAGCTATCTCCAAGTGTACTTTGCAGTTCCTGTTTTTTTCTTGATCTCTTATTTTCTGCCGAGGTGGTGCATTGCGGAGATTGTCGAGTCTGGCCGATCTCGAATTCATCAGCGGATCAAGCCACTCACACTGTTACGATGTGTTTTGAATACGATCACCAGCTTCAAGTTCGAGGCATTGCGATACATTGCAATACATTTGCATCGGATCCATACTTCCTGAGGCTACACAGTGAGGCGGCATTGGACAGAAATTACCAACGCCTGAGTTCGATTGACGTCCGCCACTGTAAGGCCTCCCGCCCGGAGGCGCGGCTCGCGACAGCCAAATGGGAAGATTATATAGTATGCCAATGGCAGAGTCAGGCAAGATTTATATAGTTTGGATTCGGATGATAAGAAAGTGAACTTTGAACCCTCAAACGCGCGGGAAGAAGGAAGGGGCATCACGCATCAGCACGCTCTTCAGGACAGAGAGATGATCCTCCAGAGCATTCAGGACGTGAAAAGGTTTAACTCAGACCTTCAGTGGACAATCTTCGGCACTGAAGGCATGGGTTTCTCCGCTACGGATCAGTCGAGAAGAGTCTTTGAGTTCCTATGAGTCCGCCTCCAACCTAAAAGCAATGGCCTTCAACCATCTCCAACTTACTAGCGATGGCCTCCAACCCAATAGCGATGGCCTCCAACCTACTGGAGGCCTCCTCAGAAAATGGATGGATGGCCGGGAACGTGCTGCGCTGGCTGGCCGTTGCGTGCGCCGCGCTGGGACCTTCGGAGGCCATTTTAGTTCAAGCAACTTGGCGGAAGTCTTCGATACCTTTAGAAGACAATGTCTTAAACTTAGACATATTCTTCAACTTTTTTGGTAATGTCAATCTAGAGAATCAGAGCATGGATTCAGAATGGCCAAGAATGGATTCAGAGCATGTCAAGCTGGTTTGCAAGGTTCAACTTTGGATCCCATGGACACTGTCTGACATTTAGAAGTCTGCCTATAGGTTGGATTCACCGTATAGAGTCCGAAGTGTGCCCTTGGGCCAATTTAGCTTGCTGAGTGCATTTTCACTTGTTGAGTCACATAATTGCAACTATGCAATCGCCTGCTTTTCTTAATTTCCAGTGACACTAACTTGACGATTGGGCCAATGAGTGTAGTCCGATATGGACGGCTTCCGGCCTGCATCTGACAGTGTGGCCAACACTTCACAGAGCTGGCAGTGTGACAGAAGCAACGAACAAAGCTGGATAACTTGACGGAACGAGCAGTCGAAGTGGATCCATTTGAATTCCCATGTTTGGGTTACTCTTGCTGAGAGCAAAGCAATGCTGAGCGACACGAATTTAGCAACAAAATTCAACAATGAATGCTTTCTCTGCCAGTGCAAGACAATGCCATGCCCTGCTTGCCACTGTATATTGAGCTCAAGGAAGCCACTCAGAGATTGAAGGTTTTCCATGATGCATCGTAAGCTGTATAGCACTGTCACGAGGAGACTGCCTCCTGACTCTCAGTGCTTTTTTGATATTCTGCGGCAGAGCCTGCAGAATATTGACCGGTGTCCTCCGGTTTCCATCATGCATGAAGCTTCTTGTCCTTCAAGTTGATCGAATTTGGTGGCACAAGATCGAGCAAATCGCTTCAACAAGGATCAGGATGTAAAGAATGACAAGCCTTGTGGAACAAAAAGGCCGCCACTTCTCTTCTCCAGGCAAGATTTTTGCTCAACTGGTTCCATATCGTTCCACTCATGGTTCCACCTCACATCGCAGCCTGGAGCACTAGCTCTTGCGCAGAGCTTGCGCAGAGCACTTTCCTTCAGACAAGTTGTACAGCACTTGCAAAGAGCAAAACGGAATTGCGAGCATACATAAGTATGTATACACAGAATTTAGTAAGTTTCTTATTGACAGCGATGACCCGTTTGGAACTATGGAATCCTTCAATTATGCTGCAGACATTTGGGCTGCTTTGAGAATATTTGTTTGAAGGGGCCCCTCCGGAGGGACCTTCGGAAGGCAATGGCACTTGTGATGCAGCCGCTGATCCTCAGAGACCTGCCGCGTGTGCTAACGCACGAGGCAGGGACAGCCATTGGTGAAGGGAAACATGATAGGGGATATGGATATGGAGAACTTTGAAAAAAAGCAACGGAAGTCAACTCAAATTCAATCTCGGCTCCTTCAGCAAGGTTGATACTTTCGACGAGGAGCATTTGTGCGGCCGCTATGTCCTGTTGGAGAAGATTGGTGGAGGAAACTACGGAAGTGTCGCGAAGATGAAAGATGTGGACGCCAGGCGGCAGAGCCACTGCAGAGCCAGGCTATTGAAAACTCAAGAGGCATGTTTTGCAAAGTAGGAGCATGGCAGAGCAAGCAAGCTGCAAACGAAGGCCATATAGAAACCGGCAAACACCAAAAGAAACGATATGAAACGCCTGTCTGAGGTCACTGGCAAATTGGTTGCCATCAAGAGCTCTCCACAAAGCATTGAGGAGGGTCATGAGATGTCAACTGCATTCATGGAGGGCTGGAGCTGATGGAAGAGACTCAAAGGCCAAAAGAGAAGACGAGACGTCCTAGGAGGGACGTCGTTTTGTTTTGTTTTTCCAGGAGGGCATGAGTGCTTCCTCGCTCCGAGAGATTGTATCTCTCAGGCCTGTTGATTAGTTTCTGATACCAGTGCAAGTTTTTTGCATCGTTTTGCTGTTTTGATTATATATTTGTGCATTTTTTGCCATAGTTGATGACATCCAAGACTGTCCACGAGCTGTCACAAGCCCATGCTGCTTTTTGATGTTCGAAAGCGCATGAGGGCCTGCCAGCATCCGAACGTGGTGCAACTCCTGGATGTTCATCACGATTCCAACTGTGTGCTCCGAAAGCAGATTCGCGCGACCGTGGGACAACTTTCGGGAGGGAGGATTTTGGGGAAGTTCAGATACCATGCTTAGATTGAACCTTTGCTCATATCGAGCCCCCTTGTGTGATCTGTGTGTAGCTTTGTTTGGCTTCATCAAAGCAACAACTCCACGGATGATGTAGCAAGTCGAAAAGATCCTGTTGGAGGGCATCGGAGTCCCTTTGAATGACTTGTGTCAGGTGCACTTCATCCTGGAGTTCATGCCATTTGACCTATCCCAGTACATGAGGCACGTCGGGTAAAACTTTGTCTCCCTGACACTTACTGCTTAGGTAGCTTTCATTTATATACATGGAGAACCTTCCCTGTATTGACACTGTGCAAACTCTAAGACACTAAGAGTACTGCAACATTGTCGCGAGGAGGGTCTTGAAAGGCCCCTTCGTGGACTTGAAGTCAGCGCTGCTTGTCCCAGATGTGGTCCAAATATGCCAGCATAGTACACTGCAGTTTTGTACATAGTGGCCTGTCCGGCCTGCTATGCGTAAAGCACATAATCGGTTTGAGAATCCCTTGACCCCTTGACCACATGGACGAAGAAGATGCATTTGTGCGGCCAAGGTTCCGTCAGATTCTACTGGGGGTGGCTCATTGCCATCGAACTTTGGCAAAATATTGATGTGTTTCATCGAACTTCTATAAACACATACTGGGACTTGATGTTGACTTGTCATGTTTCCATTTTGCCGATAGGATTTGAGGCAATGCTCTTGCCTTATGGACACAGAACTGGATTTGTTGACCTTTCGTTCGCGAGCCAAACATGGGTTTCCTCCAACATCTAGGAACCAAATGAACAGTGCGTGAGCTATCCTGCGTCCATACTAGTAGCTACTTAAGCTAGTAGCTACCTCTCCCCTAGCATCTCCTAGCTACCTACCTCTAGCTGCTACCTATACATACCTATACCTCAGTTGCGGCTTACCCCCCCAAGGCTGCGGCTATTTGCATCGAGACCTGAAGCCTCAGAACATTTTGGTGAATGGAGATGATAAGATCACACTGAAGGTGGCGGATTTTGGCCTCGCGAAGCCCTTCAGTGCTTTGCAAATGAGTCTCCCGTTTGGAATTCGCAAATCAGAGCACATAAAGTCCAAAGATGTGCGAAACAACTTCAATTTTTTGAGGATCTTGAGTTGGTTTCACGATTCTTACAAATTTTGAACTCCAGGAAGAACTGATATACTGTACATATTATGAAGCCTTATGATGCTGTCATTTCTGCATTTGTTTGTGCTCTTTCCACCTTCTACAACATTTCTTTCCCTCAGTCCTGTGACAGTTTCAAGATGTTTCAAGCCTTGAGCGCCTGCACACCTGCTTGCTATCAAGAACAACTTTGACATCCGACAGTCTCCCTCTTTCTGCCTTCCCCCACCCACGCTTTTGATGTCGATGTTTGTTGGGGCTGTAAGGAAGGACGGGGGGATGAAAAAGCAAACCCAAGTTGAATGTAAGGCGTCTGCGTGCAGACGACATATTGACATCCAGCTAACCAGCTTCAATATGTCGTCTGGTAGCTGTCGCCAGGCTGGTGCACAAAAGACCTGAAAGAACGGACGAATCCCTTGGCAACAGTGCGTGGTACATGTGGCTTCGGAGTTGAGGAGTTAGCGTAGGTATATATATATTTATATACAGATATTATATATATATATATATAGTCCCTATCTCACGAAGATGGACTCACACAACTTTGCCTTTAGCTTTCGGGTCAAGTTCATGATCCCTTGGTGGGCCCCTGAACTCTTTCGAGAGTTTCTTTTTTGGGCCAGCTCGCCCGTGACGCGCCCTTGGGGCGCCATTGGTTTGGCCTTGGTGCTTTGTTGCTGCGCCGCCTTTGTTGCTGGAGCGCTTCTTGGCATCTGCTTGGTCTCACCTGGCTGCAGGCGCTGCTTGGTGAGTGTGGGCCGATCTTTGGTGGCTGCATTGGCCCGCGAGGTGCTGGCGGGCTGGCCGGATCATCGTGGGCGGCTGGCGGAATACCGGCACTGAGCGGGACACCGATCCTGTGGATCAAGAGTTGGATCGGGTTACTATTCACTTAGCTGTCGTAGAGATCACTTTGTCCCTTGTTTCTGCATCCAAGTAGCGCACTCGCCTGAAAATCTAGAGCAACTTCCCATTTGTTTTCAGCTGGAACCGTCTTTGATTTGGGCGGAGACCGCTGGCCAACTTGTTGCCATCCGCCTTCCTGAGCTTGAGCATCTGGCTGGGCGCCGGCTGGAGGGGGAGGTGCTTCGAGAGTCATCATTGGCTCTGCTTTTTAGGCGAGTGCTTCCTTGCAGGAGCGAGGAGGCGATGGCCTCAAGAGCTATGATCACCACCTTCTCGGAAGAGGGTATCCGCCATCTGGCAGCCCGGATTTCAACTGCCAGAGCTTTGCCCACGGGGATTTCTCGCATCTTGCTGCGCTAGTGGTTATGGTGAGGGCTGGCAGGTTCAAGGTGGCATTCCCAAGTCATTTAGAGTTAGCCGGCATTTTGGACGCGCTCAACCCTGGTGGAGGCACCCCAGGCCCACTGTTTTTCTCGGGCACTGCAACCTTCCAGACTCTTCGGGGCAGAGCTACGGGAGACTCAGAGGTGGATTTGGTGGACCTCTGTGGGGCTACGCCAGCACTTTTCTGTCAGGTGGCCGCCTGTCTGCCGCTCAGAAATCCAAAGTACGGCTTTTCTTATTTGGAGGACGTAGAGGGTCGCCCCACCAAAAGTTCTGTTCTAGATCTGGCTTCCTAATTGGTAGGGGATATGGATCCTGTGACTGCCCAAGAATACCTGACGGGGGAAGAAGCAGTAGAAGAAGAACCAGAACTAGCAGAGCCCGCAGAGCGGCCGAAGGGGGCCCAACCTTTCGGAACTCCGGCGCTGGCGCCGGCCGACGAACTGCGGGCGCGAGAGCGATTGGCTACCCTGGAGGCAGCTACGCAGTCTCAGCAAGAGCTAGTGGGGCGTCTGGTTCCGGACCGGAATTGAACGTCTATGCGCCGGGGCTTTCGCCGCTCTAACTGCTTTAGGACATTTCATTCAGTAGAGCCTCCAGTTTTGCAAGACCCCTGTGACGCAGATGGAACCACAAGTTCCATATGGCCAGTCCCCGTCCAGGTGGAGTTGGACGGCTGCGTCCTGACTGAGCCCAGTCCGTCGTCGTAGACGTAGGTATTTTGAGACTCGCCATCAGTTGCTTCAGATAGTTACTTGAATTGGCAGGTGTTGGGCTATAAGGCGAGTCCCCCCAAATCAGCCCGCATAGGGGCTGCAATCTCTCCGCGCCAGCGTGATGTGATTGACGTCTCGAACATATGCTGGATCGTTTCCTTCACACTTTTTCCGGCAGTTCTCATCTTCCAGCTCGCCAGATACCCCGCGTACTAAAGTTGTACTACAAAGTCGCCAGTTCTCAGCTTCCAGCTCCACAGATTGCTCCGCGTACTAAAGTTGTACTAGAAAGTTGCCAGTTCTCATCTTCCAGCTCCCCACCTACTCCGCGTACTCAAGGACATCGACTACAAAGTCGCCAGCTCTCAGCTTCCAGCTCCACTGATTGCTCCGCGTACTAAAGTTGTACAACAAAGTCGCCAGTTCTCCGCTTCCAGCTCCACAGATTGCTCCGCGCACTAAAAATGCACTACAAAGTCGCCAGTTCTCAGCTTCCAGCTCCACAGATTGCTCCGCGTACTAAAGTTGTACAAAGTCACCAGCTCTCCGCTTCCAGCTCCACAGATTGCTCCGCGTACTAAAGTTGTACTACAAACTCGCGAGTTCTCAGCTTCCAGCTCCACAGATTGCTCCGCGTACTAGAGTTGTACTAAGACTAGACAGTCGCCAGTTCTCATCTTCCAGCTCCCCAGATATACTCCGCCTACTAAAGTTGTACTAGAAAGTCGCCAGTTCTCATCTTCCAGCTCCCCAATCGCACTCTCGCCTGCAT